TCACTCAAGACAGTGCTGTTACTGGCCCTGGCATCCGCCAAGCGAGTCAGTGACATTCATGCGCTATCTGTACATCCTTCATGCACTCAGTTCGCCCGAGGGTTAACGAGAGTGTTGCTGAAGCCCAACCCTGCCTTTATACCTAAGGTGGTTGGTTCATGTACCCCCATTGACATTGAGGTATTTCCTCCGCCGCTGTGTCCCTCCGGGGAACAGCAGCCGAATTTGCTATGTCCAGTCCGTGCTTTACGCACTTATATGGACAGATCAAAAGAGTTTCGTCATAATGACCAATTCTTTGTGTCCTGGGCTAACCCTCAGAAGGGCAAGCCTGTTACTAAGCAACGGCTCTCTCACTGGATTGTGGAGGCAATTGCTTTGGCTTACACGAGTCAGGGTCTGCAGGCACCTTCGGGTTTGCGTGCTCATTCGACTCGTGGTGTGGCTACATCCTGGGCTTTGTTCAGGGGTGTTTCCATCCAAGACATTTGTGCAGCAGCGAGCTGGTCCTCGCCGCTCACTTTTGTCCGCTTTTACAGATTAGACGTCTCTGCTCCCAGTGTGGCCCATGCAGTGCTGGGCCCCCTGCTGAGTTAGAGCTCTAACTGTTCTGGTTGGTCTTGGTGACTTTCGAGATAAGCTCGTCTGGCAATACGGGAGCTACAATATCCCATAGTGAGACATCGAACGGAGTGTTATGAATGAGAACTATAGGTTACTTACGTAACCCCAGTTCTCAGAGTAACATGAAGTGAGATGTCTCACCAGACGGCCCTCCTTGCTATGGTGAAGCGAGAAGAGGTGCTTATTTTGAATGACGCGTGCGGCGTAGCGCAAGCTACTTATAGGGGGTGGATTCCCTGACGCTGACGTCAAGATCACCAGCCAATCAGGATTGGCGTAATGAGATTGATGCTTCTGTTTGCTCCGCGATGAGGCGCATCCCATAGTGAGACATCGAACGGAGTGTTATGAATGAGAACTGGGGTTACGTAAGTAACCTATAGATTTATTTGGTTTATTTTATCACACTCTGAAATACCAGTTAATATGGAAATGTAGTTGATTATTCATTCTAGGTATGATTTGCAGTCAAGATATTATTGGTGCTTATTTAAAAGTGGTGATCTAGTCAGTAAGTACATTTTGCTTTGAACCTGAAGGCCGTTTTAGAAAACCAGTGGTCAAAAACAAGAAGCAGAAGCTACTAGATTTATTTAGTGACTTGTATGCGTCACGCTGTAAACATATCTTAATCCCTAATCCATGTAAGGCCTTTGTACAGAGCTTTTAAACTCAATGCTCCCATAACATGATGTTTACTATATGTGTATCATTTCTTTTAAAGAGGCCCGATTATGCTTATGGGGATTTTCCCTTTCCTGTAGTGCGTTATAAAGGTTTGTGTTCATGTTAATGGTCTGCAAAGGCTAAAATCCCTGTGTTCACCCTAGAGGAAGTTTTTCTCCCACACACTCCCCCCCTACCTGAAACGCCTCCATTGGACTCCTTTGTTAACTTCCATAATATGACATCACTATGTACAGTTACACTAGCATTTACATTGGCTAGCACTCCAACACATTGTGTGTGATAGGCTAAGGGGAGGGAGATTTCCTACACAAAGAAGTTACAAATCTCTAAAAGATTGACTAAGCACAACTGAGCCGGCCAGCTAACCAATCAGAGCAGACTGGGCTCTCTTTTCAGACAGAGGGTGAAAAAAGAGGTGCTGCGCTGTTGAAGAAAAATAAAGACCTTTTTGAAGAATAAACCAAGTATACATGTAACAGTAGAAACACAAATTACAAATATATGCCCTCTTTAAAAACTCCGTCTTTTTGCATTCTACCCACAGGTACTTAGGGAAAGAGGGCTGGGCCCCTGCCTCCTACTTGCAAAAGGTGAAAGATGACTTCTCCCCCCGCAAGAAGACCCTGACAGGCCCCGTGGAGATCATCGGCAACATCATGGAGATCAGCAACCTGCTGCAGAAGAAGTCCGTCAGCGAGAAGGACATCCAGACGGAGGGGGAGGGGAGCACCACCCCCGAGCGCCACATCTCCAAGAGCGAGATCAGCCTGCCCATGCCGTACAACTCTGAGATCAACGCGGAGACGGGCCGGAGGCTGAGCGCTGGCCGTGACACCAACAGCCCCTGTCTGGGGATAGCAGCAAGTGCTGCACTCAAAAAAAGTCTAGCCAGGGAAGAGCAAGGTTCCCCAGCTGTTGCTAGAGTGGCCCCGCATAGAGTGGAAATTGGTGAGTATTTGTAGCGTGTCAGAGTACAATTGAGCAATAAATGCATTGCAGCCAAGGAGGATTTATAGCTCTGTATGAGACATTAAGACGTGTCATTTTCCTTTTGTGTAGGCTTTGACTCTATAGGTAAGCTACGTCACTGATGGTGTATCTAATGGTGATGGTGGTGTAATCTAATAGCATTGTCACACTAATCTGTGAGAGTGTTTAACATGGGACAGTGGGTTTGGTGTGTGGATTTTTATTTTACTCACACACTAAGAACTGTGTGCATTTTGTTTTCAAGCTTATGTTACTTATGACGTTACATTAGTGCCTCATTCCTGAGCGTGTGTTTTGCATGTGCATAATCAAAAATGTAGGGAAAGTATTTTACATTGTTGATAAAGCAAACAAAAATATGTTTTGGGCTAAAAAATGTGTGTGTTCTATACACACAGTGATAATCGTTTTTACAGAGTTTAAATATTACACTCAGACAGTTATATAAAGCAGTTTTATTTGTCAAGCACATGGGTGATTATAAATTAAAGTATATGTAGCTGGCCATCATCAAGGAAAACAACTTGCTTAGTTACATAGCAACCTACCAAGACAGCTTGGCTGCAATAGAAAAAATACACGTTCAACCAGATTGACAAAAAGCTTCATAAGTTATGAAGGATTTTCATGAAGCTGTGAAACTGCATTACATTCTTCAATTGCTTTACCTCTCCTGTTTAGTAACCAATAATACTGTTCAGTGTTTCCCACAGATCTGAAATATACTTGGGGGGTGGTGGTAGCGCTTGTAAGCAGACCCTTCACGCGATGCCCTATAGTTTAAATCTACTACCCACACATA